AAGACCTTACAAACACAAAAGAGAGCACGAGAAAATGTCGTTATTACAATAGACTTGAAAATTTGCATTTTCCCCGAGTTGAGACTAACCCTGTATTCCCATGAGACCTAAGGTATGAGCCTTCTGGGAATACAGGGTTAGCCTCAACTGGGGGAAAATGTAAATTGTTAGCGCTATTGTACAAGCAACATTTTCTCGTGCTTTCTTTTGTGTTTGGTAAGGTCTTTGCGTAAGAGAATCTGCTGTCAAATATAACAGCGGTTATTCACTTTGCATTCGAAACTGGAGTATTGTAACCGTGGCTTTGTATCGAAGCGATTGCCAGCAGCACCGCCTACCAACATCTATAATAATATTACCTCTTCAGATATGGTGACAAAAGTCCAAGATCATTTTTCGGGCGTTTCTTTGGTATCGTYTGGATGTTGCTTGGTACAGTCCTACTCTCAATGGTGTCTGGACAGATCACTGCATATCTAACCTCATTCCAAGTCGCTGAAACATTCTCAATACAAGGCAAAGATGTATGTAGCTCACTGTAACACCGTGGAACACACTTCTGAAGCTTTTACGTCACKTACTTGGCTACAAAGCATTGTGGGATTCAGTTTCTAAAGAAAAAAAAAAAAAAATCCACCATGTTTTCAATTGTTTTAAAAAAAATCCTACAATGCATTGCGTATACGTTATATGACGTAAAAGAGGTCAGAGGTCTATCTTCTCTCTTCTTTTTTGGCTGTGGGAAACAAGTCTTTGTCAAAAAATAGACCTTTTGCCAAAATATACGCCTCTTACCAGCATACTTTTTTCCAACCCAACGCAAAATAACCCCTGAAATACTAAAGAATATCTTTCGCTTGAAATCCTAGAAAATACTTAAAACAAAAGAGATTTATCAAAATGGAAATACGGAAAAAAAWTTACAGATAAATATATGTCGCAGTTCCGACGGAATTCACCAGTACCCTATCATGGTGGATCTGTTTGAGTGTCCCGTTGACGCTTATTAACTGGACTCTTGAACTCCTGGTAGGGCMTTCCATGTCAAACATGTCAAAGGGTAGGGTACTGACAAAAAGTAACACTGGAAAAAATCACGCGCCAAAAAGGTTGTAAATTTGATGTATATATGATGTAAGTGTCCAAAATGATGTAAATTTGATGTAAATCATTTCCATCAAATTTACATCATTTTGGACACTTACATCATATTTCCATCAAATTTACAACCTTTATGGCGCGCGATTTTTTCCAGTGTAATTCCCTGTGGTCCTCCAGGTTGGGGGTTGGGMATAGGGCTAACAACCCTATCCAGTAAAAAATATCTGTTACGGAAACAACAACAAATTTACCAAATATTTCTGTCTAGGACATGTTTAGGAGAACAAGCCATACTGACTCGAACAATACATTTCCTAGTATCTAAAACAAATATTCCTGGATTTTCAATAGAACCTACAATGATCTTTTCCAGAAAAAGTATTCGAACGAGCGGCTGCCATTTTGACAAGAAATGGTCTGTTGCACAATAACTTTATTGTTGAATGTCACTTGCAGGTTGCAGTTCCACTTGGAATGCAAAATTTCCTTGAAAAAGAGCTAAACCTTGGAGCAAAATACAAAGGTTGGATAAATATGGATTAAGAATTCACTATAAAAGTTGAGCAATTGACAAAGTAAATCATTCACTTTACAGGCAAAATGTCCTTTTACAAACTTTATAAATTGATTTTACAAGATATTTGCAATGTTTGATGGAGCAAAATTAATTAAACGATACTTACAGAATGTACATAAAATTTACAAACATTCTATTTACAAACTKTGTAATTTAATCAACTTTTCCAATGATTTTTAGCGTTCACAAAATGTTTAATTAGCTTCAAAACGTTGAGTATTGATTGTTGTCATCATTGATACTGTAATTCAAGACAGCAGCGCTTTGTTGCTAACTTATTGGTAGTAAGCTTGCGCTTGCTAGCTTCTTTATGAAATCACAATTCCATTCAAGTTTTTGACTATCTGGATACGGAGCTGGAATTGATCGTTTTCACCATTCCCATTAGATTCAAAAGAGAAAAGACCAGCAGACATGTTGGAAGAATGAACAATAGATATTAATGAGAAATTTATGTTGAAGTTCCTCCAAGATGGCCGCCATGACGTATAGTGAGAAGGAAGAATATAATCGCTCCATGACTACTCTTTATGAACGGCGATAAAACGACCAAAAATGAATTGCTGTCTTGAATACACTATCCTGTCTCGGTTTTCAATATTCAGTGTTTTTGATATCACAATGATGTAATGAATTCGCTGTATGAGCCTAGTTCAATTTCTATTTATTTACACTAGTTTATAAGATATTTTTTTACATAAATATTACATAAACAATTAAGGTGAAATTAAAAAATGAATAAATTGTTATATACAGTGAGTGAATGTGTATGTTGGCAAAGGAGCAATAGCTTTCGAGTTGGCCAACATAATGTTTGAAATAGATAGGTTCACTAACTAAAATATCTATAAATAAGTATATTAGTACGCTATTAGAATTATTAAGTGGAAAATCTCTGAAAACTAGAAAAAATTTAAACTATTTTAAATATTATTACTTTATTAAGTAGCCTAGCTAATCTTAAACCAATTTTCTACATGTTTAGAATATGCGACGAAGGACATAATGCTGGCCGTCCAATACCACAACAATTCACGTATTGATGGTCGGAACTACGCAGTATTTCATGATTATGAAAAACTTCAAACCTGGGTTCTAGAGAGGAACCTCTCGGTGACTTTTAAAGTGAAAATGACGATCAGTCATCGCTTGTATCTTGGTGTGGTCATAACGCACATTCCTGAAACAGCAAAGGGKTTTTTTGAGTGCTTGAAGACGGTCGTTTCGGATAAGATTGCAATTAAAAAGGTACGCTAATTTTATTATAAATCAACAGTCTTCTCTTCTTCTGACGTCATTTTGCTTTCGCTTGCATCATGGGATTGATGAAAGAATTAAGATGGCGGATATCTTCAGGCCCGTTTACATAGGCAATTCTGCTGCAATTTTTGGGATTTCTTTTTTTCCTTCTAATTAGAAGTCCTTTTAGTTAGCTCATCTCACTTGTATACTGATGAAAAGTTTCCGAGTTATTTCTCTAGCATTTTTTTCTCTATGATCAAAATGACCATAAAAATCGACTCAAAAATCGCCAGTTCGAACTGGCCTTTTAGTACAAAAACTATGGAAAACTTTCTTTGCGAAATTTTCAATCTTGGAAGTCGTGAATGATTTTGAGGAGCATTAAATGAGATGCTTACATACTAGAGTAAATTATAAAAGACCTTTCTGGGAAATAACTAATGCTTGTTAAAAAATCAAGTAGATGTTACACGGATAGAGTACAAACATTAAATGYGTGCAACACTTTCCACTTTTTACCACAAAATTATAGTGTTAATTAAACAATAGAAAACAATAGAATTAGCATAATCTAGCGGTATTTAGTGGTATTTATGTCGACAGTTTTAGTGTTTGTACTCTACACCTCATAGAGTGATCGCACTTAATCCGTGCAACTGTACAAACTAAATAGTGATGTTTAGTTGCATTTAGTAAATCGTCTTTGCTTACGCAAATTAAATTGAATTGATACAAATGAAGCATTCAATACCGTCTTGCTTCAGGTCCACTTTTAGTACAAATTAGTACTACTTAGATTTTGTACAGTTGCACGGATTAAGTGCGATCACTCTAGGCTCTAATTGCATTGTACAGAATCAGTGCGCATTCTACGTAATGAACAATTTTGATATTTCTCAACATATTTTGAAATATTGAACAAGTATTAATTGTTACTCTTTGAAGCTTGTGGAACGGGCGAGGTTTCGTAATGAACTCAATCAGGTGTCAACTGCAAGTCAAACTAGCACAAACCTGGAAACAACAAGCTTGCAGTATCTTGGTATAGCCGTTGGAATAATCATAGCAATTGGATTAATGTGGGAACTTTTCTGGCGGCTTAAAAACAAAAAGTCTTCAGCAGGTAAATTGTAATAAAAAACTGTTATAAYGACATACTGYATTCTCAAGTGAGACGTTATGGTATAGTRACTAAAGGTCCATCATCATCCGKCATTCAWTGCGGTCGTGTATTAAWTTTTYYATATATGAAAAAACATTCGCAATCCGTTTACATCGGTCGGTTWTAAGGTCAAASCTTACATTATCTGCATTCATATATTATAAAGGGATAATAAAGACTTAAAGGGCTACTTGGACGAAAATTGCGAAACATTAGAAACGACTTGGAAATCAAATAGAACTATCCATATGGGTCTAATAACCATGAAGCAACAGATTTTAAGAAGATATTGATACAAATCCGTAATAATTTGGGCAAAAAATGTTGGAGTAGATGACGTCATTTACTCAATCCTTTTGTTCTTCCATCTTTTGAATCTAAATCTCTCTCCAAAACAAATATTTTCCCGCAATTGTTTTTAATAGATATATGTGAGTCATATATTTGTATTGCTTGAAGTTTTGAAATAAGGCCATTTTCATGCAAGTAATTTTTGCTTATATTATGATGAATTTTTATTTTSAAACGTAAACAAAACTTCGTAAGAGCTGACGAGGTAAGAGTGAATTGTTATACGCGTGTGCAGAAGATCTCACGCCGTCAATATATGTGCACATGATAAAGACCTAAGAGACTAGTAATGTATATATGGAATCTTATTATTATGTTTTAATCGACTCTGTCTCTTTTATTCACACAACATTGGGTTTATTTTCTTTTAGTTCCTCATCCAGACTAAGATTTTTAAGTAATTGAAATGCCTTTGGTCTTTTAATGGACGCTTAAAGTGGTTTGTATGTCTGGGTCCAATATTTTTGATGGGTGGTCACCACTACGTCTGAGCCCTGCATTTTGGACATTATCACTCTAGCATGATAGAGTCTATTACTTATGCACATTTACACATTCTAGACTCGTACCCAGTCGTTTCTCTTGCTCGTTTTACGGATCGCGGTGCATCAAGAGAAGTCCGAACTACCTTGATCCTTTGCGCACGACTGAGAATAAAGGAGAGTAACGACTGGGTACGAGTCTGTACACATGCATTCAACAATTAAAACACAAGGTCCAGTGAAATATCTACACAAATATCTAATAGTTGATAGTCCATGAGGCTGTACTAGTCCAAATGTTTTAGTATCCACCAAACGTTAGGGCAAGTTTGAATAGAAAAACGTGAAGAACAATTATTTATTTTTGTTGGCATATTTTCGACTGTTTTTGCTCCATTCGATGCGACCATGGTATAACATAAATATATACCATTGTTTGGGAGCCAATCAGAATGCTAGTTTGGTGAATACTTAATGAATATATCTCTCTTAACTGATAAAAAAAACAATATTAACTAATAATACAGCAATATGCAGAAATTATGATCTTTTTTGCCCATATTTCAAGTTTATATAAAATATATATCAGAAATTTTGGGATATCATCGCCAATATGTTTTTAAGTTGCCTAGCACTAGTACTTTCTGAAAAAAATATTGGCGATGACATCCCATACTGATTTTTGATATATTTTGCATATACTTGAAATATACAGCCTTTTGCAAAAATTATGAGAATTGTTGAAATATCTAAATATCATAATATCAAGTGCATGATCCCGCGYKATGCCCTTAGTCCCTTGTCTTTGTTGTTTAGTTTTTTTTGGCGACGTACTTATCCGTAGTTCTGAACATTTTCTCGATGTCAACAATGAATGAATGGCTGTAAGCAAAAAAGATCATAATTTCTGCATATTGCTGTAAATGAATTGCTACATGTTAATGCCTATTTATCAAACTCAGTTATTGATAATTTTTATATATCATATAATTATCTATGAAATATCTATATTTCTCCATTTCGTAAAGTTGATATTTTCACTCGCTACGCTCACTCGTGAGAGATCTTTTCAACACTTGAAGATAAAATTCGTATCTCCGCGCGCTCATGTAATATCCTCTATATAATTCATGAGTTAGTTATCAATTCTATGAGGATCACATGAGTGACTCTTCAAGTCCTGATAAGATATCGTTAATAAACTGACATCAATGTTTTATAGATAACATATATAATATATATAACATATATAATATTTGCATTAGCTAATGTACAAATGGCTCATTTTCCTGCTTCTTGCATTGCATTTTCAAACACGAGCACTCGTGAATATTGTATAAAATAAACTTAAAATATGAATAAAAATATAAAAATTGTACTGGGTATTGTATTTAATAAGCTTAAAAATATACATATTATAAAACTATGAGAAAAAATAAGTAGTTGAGTCTTTGTATGACAACTTTAAATTGATAAAAAAAATTAAACTTTAAACTTTAAAATGATACCAATCCAAAAGTCCACGAGAGTAGTCAAAAAAAAATGCAGCACAAATGCTTAACTTATTATTTGGTATTGATAACACATGATGATACAAAAAAAAAATGACGATGCGCGCAAGGCATCCTGGATAATACTGGGTCTTTAATCTGAGTATTTAGTGGCGCATCATTTTAGTCACTATTGTTTAAAACTTGCGTTCAAGCTATGCTTGTCGAGAAACTCACCCGAGTCAGTGTAATAAGAAGCGCTCTGTTTCTTTTTTGGCTTATTTGTGTGCGTGTCGGTGCAAAAAGAAATTTTAAGCTTGCATCAAAAATCGTTGCCAACAATGCAAAATGATTTGGACGGCTGGTCAACACTTTCAACACTTTCTAAATTACCCCGGAACCCCTCAAACCACCCAAAAACAATGTTGGTGTTATGCAGGGTTCTATCTACACTAGAAGGGGAGCGGGGGTCAATATTTACGACGAATATACCGTGCGAATTTTTATAAAAAAGCAAATTAATGTTCAAGAGCGTTCCAAAATACTTTTGGCAAAAAAAGACCTTAAGCCCTAATAGACATTTTGCATGAAACGGTCAAAATCCGCCATACTGGATGGCAAAAGAATGTTAACAACCTCAAATACAAAAGGAACGCAGCGCGTCAAGCTTGACTTTTCTATCTTTTGAACATCCCAGTAGGTATATTGACAAGTATGATGGATTTAGTAACATTTGACCGTTTCATGCAAAAGGCCTATACTTGCWACTTCTAGTATTTCCATTACTTCTCAGCTTGAGACTCAGGAAACAAAAGAAGACAAATGTTAATTGGGGGCATGAATAAAGAGAAATCTTACGCTGAAGTTCCATCAAAACTTGACATCAATTAAAAATCAACGGTGCTTGAAATATATAAATTCGCATATGTCAGTTTAGCGATATATTGCTGTGAAACGTAATGAAGCATGTCAATCGTGTAAATTACATACGTAATCGTATCGACGTAAATTAACTAACGCGTTGTTGGCAAGATYGAAAAGATATCGATTCAGGGTGAACGCAGTTAACAGTTGGAACATTTTCCTTGGGAAAATTTCAAAAGATGCTCCCGAAACACATCGASCACGCTATTTTCAAACTGAGTTATTTTGTTATAATATTTTGCTGTGTAATTAGCAGTTCTAACCCGAAGATCTTGGCTAATGCAAGTCAATATTGTCCTCCAAATCTGCGTTCCCTTTACATCAAAGGGATTAGCTTCCCGCCATATTTGTACGCAGACCGTTCTAATGTTTTCAAAGGAGAACTTGTTGAATACATYGACGCTGCCACCAGAAAATGCTGYYCTAAGATCCAAGTGAAGTATTACAGCGTTGACAACGAAACGAACTCTTCAGATGATATCGAGSAMATGATAAGAAGTCCTGATCCWCATGGCAGTTTTATATACTTTCCAGTTTTTGCAAATAAAAACGAAAAAGAGCAGTTTAATCGATTCTTTTTAGGCATGTATGAAAGTTCTGGTTTTGCTGTGATCCAGACCGAGAACGATCCATATTTTGAAAGAGCTACGGATCAAATTGATGCGTTACTAGCGACTTGGCCCCTTTTGCTAGCATGCGGTTTAACTGCTACTCTAGCTGGCGTTATAATGTGGATTTTGGTAAGTACATTTATCATATCATACATGAAGGCATCCAATATTTTTATTATCAAATGAATAGTTTTGAGCCCATTTCCGCTATGAGTAACTTTTGACGTATCTTCTCATGCCCAAAAAACTTTCCAATTTTTATAAATTATAGCTGGTTCCTTGTGTTTTGAAATATTCAGAATAACACGTAGTTTTTAGTATTTTTTAATGCCATCAAATATTTTACTATTAAAAGCTTACGAAATCTTGTTTAATAAATAATTTATAAAGCAAATTTAACCAGCTGCATGGCCTATTAAGTTCTAAAACTGTTCAAGATATTTCCAATTTTAATCTGAACAMTATAGAAATTTGAGCTGTGCTAAAATGTCAACGAATGTTTACCCAGTAATATATAGTGTACTAATGCTTCCTAGTCGGTGTATACGGACATGACATAGCGAATTTTCCATCCCTTTGTATTTTTAAATATCGATATATTTTCCTAGACCAATAGTTTGTTAAGCAATTTCTCAGTATTTTTTTTTTTTTATGAATCCCATACAAGGACTAACACAAGTTTTTAAAACGTTGAAACTTCCGACTCTAAATCGACAATTAAAAGTTTTATTAATTCGCTGAATAGCGGATTTGTATGCGAATTGTATCGACATTTAATTTAATATTTTCACACAAGAAATTATATTGTTTACACAKATATGCGTAGTGTGTAAATGCAAATTTTCCTTTTCTGAAAATCTTGCCACCATTTGTGCGCAATTAATTTTGTTGACTAATTTGCATCGCCCTCTTTCAATTCTAACTGGATTGGAGCTAATTTATAGCTATAATTTATGCTTCAGCTATACAAATGCTTCTTCTATGAATATATATTTATATAACGTGTGCATTATACAAACCGTTTTTACTATCATGACAACATCGATCAGTAGGGGTTCTGAAATGAAAATTTAAATGAATGCAAATCAAGAAATTTGTGTCCATCCAGGCGTTTTATAAGTATTGTTGACACCGCACGAACCTTTTTATTATTTTTACTTAAAGTTCGATAAGCCTTCTTACAGCTGTTTTTTTTATTCATTATTATTATTATCATTATTTTTTTGCTAGTCGATGGTGAATAAAACGATTAACTTCCAAGTTGGCTGTTCTTCACAGTCGAAGGGATTGACGCAAACTAAATAATCAAAATATATCATAAAAAAATTCAGACCAAACTATAGCGAACACGTTTCAAGCAACTTTAGCAACTTTATCATATCAACAAATCCTTTTTTAAAAACAATTTTTTAAAAGAATTTATGTTTTTTTATTGAGAACCGATACAACTAGAGTTTGTTATCAGGCTTTTACGAGAAAAACAATTTTAGATTTTACAACGACCTATAAAGGTTCCAAAAAACCGTCTTCAAGTCCTTTTGAAATTTGGTGACTCGTCGTAGTTTCACTTTGTTGCAATTGTACTTCAGGATGTCTTCAAATTCATGCAAAATCAAGGGAAAAATTGAACTTTTTCAACAAAGCCAATCCAATTACGTAACATTTCAATTATACTAATTTGAAAGCCTTGAGCTCTTGAGCGGTACAAAGAAAACATTATGTAGTGAAGTAACAATAATCCTGAAAGAATCCCTGTAATGTTTTTTGAAAAACAAAATTTTGAAATAGCAGGCCTTGTGTTAACGAAGTTTGAGTTAAATTTGCCATCAAATAAAATATTCTAGTAACCAAAGCAACTTATCGCCATCATTTTGGATATGATATTGGACCAGAGAAACAAGCGTGAAATGCTCTTCACCTTGGCAACTCGAGCTTGAAAGYACTAAGATATTTTATCGGAGTTTGAACCATAAAGTTGTTCGTTGTTTTAAAAGAACAGCTTAAGCGTGTGCCTCCCTTTTTTTAGTGAGTGAGTCATTATTTACTGACGAAAACTCAAATAAATACGGTGGACAACRAAAAACATAATAGCTAAAGCCTGTAGGAAAATAGACTTCAGAAAACAAAAGAAATCCGCCATGTTTTATCCTAAACATCCTACAATGCATTGCGTATATGGTACATGACGTAAAAGCTTCAGTCAGAAGTCTATAACCACGGAGGAAACAGTTTGAGCGCATTCAGCAATGACTTAACAAAATAAATGGTTTCAAAACTCATAAATCAACCTTTAATCATGGTGTTTTTCAATTTTCTCGACTTTAGGATTGTCGACAAAATAAAGACTTCTCGACGGGATTTTTGTCTGGAGCTGGTGCGGGTGTATGGTGGTCCTTCGTTACTATGACAACAGTGGGGTAAGCAGCATGTTATAAAGAAATAGAACTTACGTCACAATACGGCAGCCATCTTGAATTTTGAAGACATTATGGGATTTCCAGGGTACAAAAGCGCAGAAACCTGCTTCTTTTCGATTACTCCTTAAAAGGCCGATTTAGACGACACAACTTTTGTCTACAACCATCTCATGCAACCTGCGTAAGTCATCCTTACGACATGGCTACAACTGTCGTGGGTCTATTAAGTAATTGTTTAAATCTCTACGACAGTTGTAGCCATGTTGTAAGGATGACTCAGGCATGTTGCATCCCATCGTTATAGGCGAAAGTTGTGTCGTCTAACTCGTTTTCACTGTACGTCACACCGGSCATTTTGGAGAACCTTCAACAAAGGATTTCTCATTAGTATCTATTGTTCATTTCTCAACATGGCCGCCAGTCTTTTATCTTTTAAATCTCAAGGGAATGGTTGAAAACGATCGAGTCCTTCTTAAGTGTATAGTAGCTCTACTTGTTCGGTTAGGTTTTGTTCTATTGTTTGGAAGACTTGTTTGTTGTTTTTCTGTTATAAGACAAAATTAGTAAATCAATATTCATGAACGTTTCTAGTAAGTTACTCCCTAGGTTAACATAAAAGTTCCACCTGCGTTCTTCTGTTAATAGAAATTATATTTATTTTGACATAATTGATTAGGTATAAAATATGACATCTGTTTTATAGACATCGTTTTGTTTAGCTGTGTAACGTTTACTAGTATTTCAATACATTTATCTCGAACATGACTTAGGTTATGATTTTCGTAGGTTTTCTACACTGTCTTGCTTAGCGTTGTATACCCCTAACTAAGCCAAAGTCTAGTTACAGCTTGTGACTCTTTAGTTGTCACTTCCATTTAATCCCTCTCTTTAATTTCGAATATTCCATTAAGCTGTCAGATAAGAACTATAGGTTTGACAGTATAACGAGACTACAASGCACCTTATTTCAGTTTCCACATTTTCATCTAGGATATCCCCACGTGACTAATATTACACCAATTTCAGATAGACTCCACCCTTGTAACTCTACACCTCAATGCGTACCCCAAAACGCCCTTCGTTGGTTTGGAGCCTTGTAGCATCGTTCATTTTGTGTATCTTTATAATATAACTTGATAGAAAGTTAGTTCTCTGTTAGAGCTATCTTCTGTCTTAGTTTCACCTTTAAATTTAACTTAAAAACTATGTCGGGGCATAGCCTTTTCGCTCTCAGCCTTGGCTGAACATCTTATTAGTAAATCAAACTT